TATAGTATAAATAATCATAATATATATATAATATATATATATACATAATTATATATATATATATATATATATATATATATATAAGATGCTGGGCACAAACCTGCATGGGATTCTCCACACCCTGGAGTTTGTTGCCGATTAGCGATGTCTGGAAAGCACTGCTCATGAAGCCATCTCCCGGTCCACTGCGGGAGGATGTAAGCAAACGTTCCATTAGAACACAAACCCTTCTGATATGTTACAAACATGCCTGTGCATACTTCCATGCCAGAGGCATAGTGAGACACTATGGAGCAAATATATCGCTCAAATCACATTCAATATATATATATTTATACATACACATACATATACATACATACATACATACATACATATATATATATATATATACATAAATAAATTAATAAATAAATATACATTTACACAGAGTCAAGCCCACTTACGTGAATCGAACGACGTAGAAGTGGACGTAGAAGAAGCTGATGTACAGACAGATGGGCAGCACAATCAACGTCAGGGCGCGTGCACAGAAGTGCTGCGTGATCAGAGGCTGTAGAAAAGTGTAGAAACGTATGAGAATTCAGATATATGGAAACGCTCACGTTTGTACGTGAATGTAATACACACACACACACATATATATATATATATATATATAGCTTGTTTCTACGGGGAGATCTACCTACTACTCGACCAGAAGTTTTACAGACGTTTGGCAACGTGTGTGGCACTGCTTTTGTGATGTGTATATGTATGTTGATGTCTCTCGTATGTATATGTATGTTGTATATGTATGTAGATAAAATATATACGTATATTATATATTCATTAGGTTTCCATGATCAAGGACTGTCAGGAGATGTGTAGACGTAACAGGAATCATTTGCAGTTTAATATAAAATTCCAGGGTTGTAGAATTGGGTTTTCTCATAGATATCTGGAAGTAGATACATGTATATGGGGTGCCAATATTTTTTAGGGTTTAAACCTTAAATCATATATTATAGCACTTGTATTCAGCATGCACTTCTATTTCTCCGGGTAGTTACCTTTGCCTCATTGGTTTAGTACACACATCACGTTGGCAAAAATATGAACATATATATATAAATTCATACACGCACACGCACGCACGCACACACACACACACATATATATATATAGATATATCCAAACATACATACATACACCAATACACACACACACAAATATATATATATATATACATATATATACATTCTAGCAAAAATTGAAACATACCACTGGCATGGAGAGATCGCCCACCATTTCCCACAGATCCATGATGACTGATATTCCTACCCACAAGATGACGAATAGGCCTACCCACTTAGTTCCCATCGCACATGCCAGCGCAACACCTGAGTCCGTTGGGGTTTTAATGGTTTAGGGGTTTTTTAGGGTGGTCAAATAGGAGGAGGAGGGGGGGGGGGAGTGTGTGAGTGTGGGGGGGAGTATTGAGGAAGGAATAAGATAGGTAGGTGTTCAGTAGCTAACTCATAGGAAAACGGCTAGATAGACACAACACATCCCAGTAAAACTACATCGGACACACGAGGACAACCCCTATTTTCACACATGACGAAACTGTGCGCGTTCTCAGGTGAGATAATAAGTTCAGGAGAGCCCAACCAGTGCGATATGTACAGACGAGAAATATCGAAATGGGTTTGTACTAAACCAAGACATTCATTGACCAAGAAGATATATATATATATGTATATATATATATATAATTATATATACTAATATACACTAATATATATATATATATAATTATATATACAAATTTAGGTACGTCACATACAACAGCACGTATACAAAATACGTGCTTTTGATAGTATACCTACCTGTGAGTGTGAGCCACTTCCACCAGTAGTACGAGAACGGGCGGCGCCGGTGTGTGTTGAAGCGACAGTACGCGAACACAGAGGCAACGATGAAGAACAAGAGAATGGGGTCCAGTAGAATATATCGCGTGAGAGTAAGTGTTCCTATGTCTGTGATACGAGGAGTTAGAGATGTCAATGTGCTAGGATTTAGTCATTGATGTATGTATCATCTGTTGTAATATATAATGTATGTATTAATGCATGTATGTATATACATAAAGGTATACATATACATACATACATACATATACATACATATACATACATACATACATACATAAATACATATATATATATATATTGTCTGGGACAATTCCGGGGTCTGTTACTCTGAGACAGGTAAGAATGGATGCCTCACTCCATGGTACATAATTTTACTTTGGGTAAGACTAGTACCATACATGTTGTATGGTACTAATTTACCAGACGCCACAGTACGTTTAAAAAAAAACACGTAGAGATGGCATATAGATACGGTGCGTAGGAGGTTTAGTACATATACGGAAATTGAGCTACACATAGCTCCGAAGATCAAAAAACAATTTCATACCAAACAACAGATGCATAAATCTAAAGGCAACTACATCGAAGGGACTCAACCAGACGCATTACGAGCCAAACATACCGAAGAGAATCAGACACGCGGCTATACTGCTGGTCTCAACACCAAAGCCTAGATCATGCATAATCAGGAAGACCATGGGAGCTAGACAGGCACCCAGCATCCCACAGAACTACAGGCCCATCCAAGAAGAAGTAATAGAGTTTTAGGGTTTTAGGGTCTGGGTTAGGGGTTCCTCATGCTCATATGAGGATGGTGTAGAATGAGACAAGCATACATTGTCCGTCCATGTGTGTTTATCATGTTAAGAGTGTAGGGTTTGGGTATATATCGATTACAGCACATTCAGCTCGCATTCTCTCGTATCAAGCATCTTCTCAAGACCATGTATAGTGATACAAATGCAATTATATATATATACATATACAAATACATGTATACATATATACATAAATATATATATATACTTATATATATATATATATACATATACATACATACATATATATATATATACATATACATACATACATATATATATATATATACATAAAGAGTGTAGATAATCTAACAATATGTAAGTGCAATGGCACATACAAATCGCATGCCCTCGTATCTGGTGTCTTCGTAAGGCACACCCGGTTTCTCGAAGGCGAATTCCCCGTCATAGCCAGTCAAATGACCTGTTGAGAAAAGTGACAGCGGTGAGTGGTGATATGTATAACATCTGGTGGTGAGTGTTTTGCACCACACACAAACACAAACAGAAACAAACAAACAGGAAAGAGGAAAAGGAAGGGAAAGTGACAGAGAGACAGAGACACACACATATATATACATACATACACGTACACATACACGTACTCATACACATACTCATGAAAATACATATACATATACATATACATATACTACGCACGCACACACACACACACAC